GACTACGGTGAATTTATATTTACTTTAACACTCTATTCCTTTTGAAATAAAAGCCAACATTCCATTTAACTTCCCTATTACAGGCTGAATTTGGATGCTAGTTTTTTGTGATTCGTGGATGAGGACTCCCAAATCCGTCTGTTCTGTAGCTTTCTATAATCTTTCTTAAAATAACATTGAGCTCTTCTATTCTTCTTACCAAAGTGCATACCTTCATATTGCCCCACAAACCATTTGCTAAAATTTTGTCCACTCATTTAACCTGTCTGTATCCCTCTTCAGTCTCTTTGTGTCATCCTCACCACTTGCCTTCTCCCTTATTTTTGTTTCATCAGCAAACTTGTCTATAGTACATTCATTTTCTTCATTCAAATTCATAATTTATTGTAAATAATTGCGGTCACAGCACTGATCCCTGTGGTACACCACTCGTTACAGGTTGCCATCCTGGAAATGTTGCCCCATCTTTATCCTATTCTCTGTCTTCTTTTAGTTAGAACATTATCATAGATAGAGGATTGGCTGTCTTCAACACCGTTGGCCTTTTTCTTATTAAGTAACCTAATGTGTGGTACCTCATGAAACACCTTCTGAAAATCCAAATATATTCATTGTTTCTCCTTTATCTATCCTGCTCACTACCTCCTCAAAGAATTCTGGTAAATTTGTCAGGCACAATTTCTCTTTGTTGAAGCCATGCTAATTCTGCTTGATCATATTGTGCATTTTTAAATGCAATGCTAATACATCTTTTACAATAGATGTTAATATTTTCCCGGTAACTGACCTATAGTTACCTGTTTTTGGTCTATTTCTCTTTTTAAGCAAAGGTGTTACATTGCTAGTTTTCAAAATCTCTGGGATTTTTCCATAATATAAGAATTCCTGGAAGATTATTTCTAGTGCATCTGCTATTTCTGTACGGTGGCTCAGTGGTTGGCACAATGCCAGGGACCCAGATTTAATTCCTACCTCAGAGTGTAGTGTTCGGCGATGTGTAGGTTAGGTGCATCAGCCACAGGAAATGCAGGGTTACAGGGATAGGGTAGGGGAATGGGTTTGGGTGGGATACTCTTTGGAGGTTCAATGTGGACTCATTGGGCCAAATGACCTGTTCCCACACTGTGGGGATTCTATGATCCTATGATACTTCTTCTAATATCCTAGGATGCATCCCATCAGGTTCAGGGGACTTATTGAACTTTAGCCCCATTAATTTATCTAGGACTTTTCTCTCTAATTATAGTTATTGCATTTATTTCCTGTCTTCCTTTTGCCCTTGAAATATTTTGTAATTTTGGAATGTCATTTGTGTCTTCTACTGTGAAGACCAATGCAAATTATTTATTCAACTCCTCTGCCATTTCCTGGTTCCCAATTATTATTTCTCCAGCCTTATTGTCTCAGGGGCCTGTATTCATTGTGGTTTTTCTCTCCATTCTTATATATTTAAAAAGTACTTTCTATTTGTCTTAATATTTAATTGCAAGTTTATTCTTAAAGTTTACATTCTTCCTCTTGATTTTTTTTTGTTGCTTTTTTGTTGGTTTTTAGAAATTTCCCAATCCTCTGGCTTACCACTGATGTTTGCCACATTTTGTTTCTTTCAATTTGTTGCTAGCCGTAACTGCCCTGGTTAACCATTATTGGCTTATCCCCTTTCTAGAATTCTTCTTCCTCGCTGGAATACGTCTTTGCTGTGAGCCATGAACTATTTTCTAAATGTCTGCCATCATTCCTCAACCATCTTTGGTGCTAAACTCCTTCCCCAGTCCACTCAAACAGCTCCGCCCTCATTCCTTTGTAATTACCCTTATTTAAGCTTAGCACAGTTATTTCCAACACAAGTTCTTCCTTCTCAAACCAAATACCAAATTCTCCCATGTTATGGACACTGTTTCCAAAGGAATATTTTCCTCTGGCATGATTTATTAAACCTGCCTCATTATACAGCACCAGATCTAAAATAGCTTGATCCCTGTTTGGATGTACAACATATTATTCAATAAAACTGACTCAAATACACTCAATGAATGTATGATGTAAGTAAAATGAGAAATTTCTACTATTAGAACATAGCGAATCTGTGGAAATTCATAACACAGATGGCTGTCAAGGCTGGGTCATCAAGCCTGAGATAGACAGATTTATAATCAATAAGTGAATCGAGAGTTCTTAGGGAAAAGGCAGGAAAGTGGAGGTGAGGAATATCAGATCAGCCATAGTCTCATTGGCGGAGCAGACGTGATGGACTCAATGGTCTTCATCTGCTCTTACATTTAATAGTCTCATAGTCAATCAGACTCTTTTGTACACAATTAACCAATCCTTGACTTTCCATCTTTTCCTCATTTACAACATTTATAGGACAAAAAAGAAGTGATGCAAAAATCAAACCTTTATAATTCCTCCAATAATTTTTTATTGGATTGCTCACAACACTGTTTAGGAGATTGGAATGTAGTTGCTAGAGATTCCAGGCAATTCTACGTGTTTCATAATAACTATTTAAACAGAATTTAAATAGTGCATGTGAACAGTTGTCTGTAGCCATGCAGTTGGAAACTGCAGCTAGTAGGTGGCACTATGGAGATGTCATCTGCCTTACAATTTTGTACATGAAATAGCTACACTGTGCAATGGCAACTTATTGGTCTCTAAGAAGGGTCTGTTGATAAATTTCGGCTGTCCTAATTTGTTAGCTGATTATAAGCAACGGAGAGCAACTATTGTATTTTTTCTGCCAACGCAAGTTATATAATGGTTATTCCAAACTGCTAAAAATTATATGCTATTGCAGCATCAGTATAAATTGTTAACATAGAATTATTTCTTAAGTAAGAAAGTAAATGTGACTTTAAGAAATGTACAGATAAATCATTCAGTTTCTTCATGTGCCTCCTTATTCTATTTTGGCATATCAGAATCAAAATGAGGAGAAAAACATGAAAAGTGGTCCATCTCTTTAATATAAAAATTACACTAACACAAATAGTTTTTGATTAATAATTGCATTTCTCGGAGACAAACATGAAAAGTATGTATTATTGATCCTAGTTGACGTGTGATTGAACAAACTTATAAAATCTTTCAAGAATTCATACTACTTAATTACCAATATGAGGGCTTAAATGTCAAAGAGTTTTAATTTTTAATCCTAAATATTAAGGAACCAATATGAAGCATTCACCCTTTTCTACTTTGCTGACTAATATATGTTGGTTCTGACTAGTGACTGGATTACTTGTAGATGCCAGTTGGTACAAAATTGTTGGGGATGATATACTTATTACTTCATATAAAATGTGGTTTATGTATTCAGTTTATTTATCTGAAAGTATTATTGACCAGCAGAACGAAGGTAGTGCTTTTGTACATCAGATTATACTATGGATGAACTGTGAGTGGGTGAAAATTAGGACACAGAGATCAATGTTATTACAACATATAAATGCAAGAAAGTACACTGTATTGTTAAATGATCTTTCAATCATTTTTAAGACTATGGTTTATTGAAGATTTATAAATCGTTGAATTTGAAATCCTACACTGCAGTGAATTCCATATTGGTTTACAATGTGATTTTATACAAATTAAAATAAAATATGCACAATGTCAGCAAATGGCAGACGGTAATGATTATAATGATCTTATTGTATAATGTAACAAGATTCTTTCCAACTCGTGCATTAGCAGGTCGCTGCCACTAATATAAATTAATTGCCAAAATCATGAAATGTAACGCCTAAAAATAACTCAAAATCCAGAATTCAACAATATGAAACACAATGTTACTTCTTAATCAGTGGAGACCATAATCATTATGACACAGATCCTTGGTTGACATTTCTAAAACAGTAAAAATCCACACTGTAAAAAAAACTGTTAATTAAATCATTGAGTTTTGAATTTTTCTACCTAAAAACAATGAGTTTATTCATAATAATCCGCGGTATTTTTCAATGGATTTTCTCCGCAGCATTTATATCACCTTTTAATAATCACTCCGACCTAACTACTAAAATAGGCTAAATTGGATAGAATGAATAGAAATTTCTGAAATTTACATATGTGTATGTTCGAAAATGGCCTGCAGTCTTGTTAGTAAGTCGTATGTGCCGTATGGTTATTGTTTTTAGTAATTGCCTGGATAGGTTTAACATCAGTCATTGTCGACAATTTAATACTGATTTCCAATGCATTCAAGATTTATTCAATGGTAATAGTCGGAGTGTTTCTGGTATTATTAGGGATAGATCTGTGCAGCAACTGCTAAAGAAGTTTTATGTACCATACTTTTGGCTGAGTTTCTGTGTTGTTGTTATCTTTGGTGTTTCCCTTGTGTCGGCTGAAGTGCATCTCTGCTCTAGTCGATCGCCGAGAGGTAGAACTGCGCTGTTCGGTTTCTCGGAGCTTGACAAACTCCCATACTACCATGGTGAAGATGGAGGAAGTGGCTGCTGGATTAGCAGCGTTTCACATCCAACAGCTCGCCCCTGTGCAATATTAAAGGGAAATGTGATGGATTTATTTGATCGTAGCCCATTACTAAGGTAATCACAGGGCTTGTTTCCGCACCAGTCAGAAAAGCGAATTAGATCAGTTTTGAATCAGCGGAGATTTTTATAAGTACTAGCACAGACCAAATGACTTGTTGCAGTCCCAAGCAAATCCCGTCGTATTCGCATGATGGCTGGGATAGTACCGGGACTCTTGTTGATAGCAATTGCACTCACATCATTCATCACAGTTGTTAAGGAATCACAGTATAGTAAATATGAATTAGTCAAGAGTCCAGCGTGATCACTAGCATTCTCCAATGATTACCTCCTTGCTCATTCCCGACTGATATTATCTGTACCAAACGAAAGGGTTTTTTTTCAGCACTTGACCTGTCACATACCATTGAAAGAAAGAATAGTTTGCCACGGGCCATTTAAACAATCCTAGTAACTTGGCCTGAATCTAAACGCCTGCTCCCCTTCTCGTCGATTCCTTAGGAACCGGTGTATCAAGTTTTTTGTTAATCGCATTGTCGAGGCTCTGACCTCTTTCTTTTCCGAAGTACTTACTGTACGTTGACATTCCTGGACACTTTTCCAACACCCATTCCATATCTTGCACTCTAACCTTAACACCAGTAAGAGCTGACAGTTGCTTGATTTTGACGCTTTATATCCGATCTGTAGGCTATCTATTGGCGTGAGCGAACGTAAACGGTACTGGAGTGTTTTAACTATTTTTGTTGGTGGGACTTTTCTTCCTGTTTGTTGCAGTGTCTGACGCGGGTTTCAGCTTTTACTCGGAGGAGCCAGGTTCCATTCGGCCGATTTTGTTGTCCGTGTGTATTAATAGTGGTATTAGAACAACTATGTATATTGACACTATGTAAATATCCGTTTTAACTGTTACTTTTAGGTACCCAGTAATTGACTTAGGCCGTAGATTGCTGCTGGGTTAAAATTTATTCCAGGATATTTTTGATGTAAATAGTATGTCTGACTCTGTATAAAACATAGCAAAAACAGGAACATATAATTCGCACTTTTCAGGGAAGTAGTTGGAGGCAAGTGGAGAAACAACCCTATTCCAGTAAGTAACACAACTTTCTTGTCATCATGGCTAAAAATATGTTGAGATCAATAGAAATAGATTTTTCAGATTAATACACAGCTGTTAACTCTTTGTACCACATTGTTTTTGAGACTAGTCAATCATACTCGATGTATTAGATCCTCATTCAATCTCCCTGGTAATCTCTCAGGACTGATGTGAAATTATTAAGCAGGACAAAAAAAATCTTTGATTTCTATATTTATTGTTTGCTATTCTCAATTTATTTGAAGGTTTCTATGACCTTCGATGAGTTGTAAATTTTACAGCTCAGGTTTAATAAAAGTACAGAAAAATGGCAAATAAATCTAGTTTGGTTAATTTCAATGACTAATTATTGCTTTTATTATTAATTGGCTAAAAGAATTAATGTAACTTAAAAATGTTTAAAATATATGTTTTATTATGTCAGACATAGAGAATTTTATAATATCAAATTATCAAGAATGAACACCAACCCATCTTGTAGGCTAAAGAAGTGTTAATGGAAATTACTTCATGAATTTTCTAATCAGCTGTGCCAGTAGTATCTGACAAATATTGCATTAACTTCGTGCAACTTTGTACGCAGGACACTGTCATAATGCATGATTGTCCACAACAGTAAGAAAACCAGGAAATTTGCCATAGCAATTTACTACTGATGATATGCATAGTATTCAGTACCAGGATTGTCTTACATTGTCATTATAATTCTACAGTTTTTAGAATACCTTTAAAATCTTCAGCCTCATGGAAGTTGAAATCATAACATGCAACTATCACCACACCATACAGTACATGTAATATCATTGAAAAGATAACGTTCCAATTTCACAGGTGTCTTTTGATTACCGTTAGCACATTTCAGTGACGAATAAGACATCCGGCATGACATTTTCTGTCAATTTTTCTTACAGCACTGCACTTTGAAGATGGAAACAGAGGTTACTGATGGCCCTATCACTGGTGGTGGTGAGTTTTAAGCCGGAATCTTAATGTTGTAAAGCTTCTGGCAGAATATAGATTATTCTGTGCTCAAAAATTATAGTCAATACTTGTTAAATCGATGTTGTTGAATTTGTATCATCCAAAGGAAGTGAACATCTTAAAAGTAAAATAGGCTTTTAGACAGGATGTACAATAAATTCCCTTACAGATAAATCACTCTCTTCATTCTGGCCTTAAGCAGTGTTACTTTAAGCATTTAAGTCAGCATTTAGAATGCACAAGTTCGTATTGCACAAGAATAATTTATTGAAAACAAGAACTATGCTTTATTAACTATGGTGTGATGACTGACCTTTTCATCATAACAGGTAGTGATGACTTCTCTCCCAAGATGGAGCATTCAAGGGTGGTGGTCCCCACCACAAGCACGCCCAATGGCCAGTACACCTCCTTGAGTCACATGACTAACAGTAAGTGCCTTTTTTGTCCTAGTTTCTACTCTGCATCAGCATAATTCTCCGAATCTGCCAGTTTAGTTACCACAGATTATAACACAGGACTCAACTCTCTGAGGAGAAACTCGGCAAAGGGTGTTTAGCACTTGTATATATGAACCTGTCTTATGGTTTAAATTATGGAATGTTTGGATTTGGAAGTACTTGTTTATCCTTGCCAGGTAGGATATATTTGGGTTCAGTTTGTAATTTGTTCTACTCTTATGAGTTTGTTTGTGTGTTAGAAGATACTCTGAATAATAAATAATTGGTTTCTTAAAAATATTAGTTCAATGTTTCACAGTTGTCAGAGACACTTAAATTTAGAATTTTAGTTTGAGCATAATTAGTAAATAAAAGTAGAATGTCAGAAAAATAATCATGCAATTTTATACATGTGAAACCACTTAAGTTAGTTTTTGATGCCTTGTAAAGTCTTGGATTATTTTCAATCTCATTTTCCACACCATCTAATTTACAGTAAGTCATAATATAGTGGTTAAGGAAAAGAATTGGAATAGTTTTGATTTGTAATCTTGGTGTAGTTTATTCCATTTGTCAGAATACTGGACTCAGAAAATAAGACTGGATGTTTAGGAAATATCCTGCATTTAGAATGCTACCAACTGTGTAAAATTGTTTATTAGAGTTGGCTGATAAATTCCTCTCTACCAAAGGAAGATGGCAGGCACTGTCTGTTGTTTGTAGATTACACAAGTTGCTATTGCAACTTTGGCTGTTAAGCAAGTTAAAGCTTACTAAACCTAGTTTTGAAATGTAAGAAGGTGCTTCATGCAGCTGATGCAAAAAGGAATTATTGTGCTCCCAAGCATAGTAGCAGTTTGGAAGATCAATGCAAAACATACATTCAAAGAAAGAAGCTGTTTGCTCCTTTCACGTGATCAATCTTACTTCTAAAATTAACAAATCTAGAAAAGAACATTTGTGTTTTGTAGCAGGTACATAATTTGAATTGTCATTACTTGCTTTATAATTTAAAATTAATGAAATGTAGCTGAAATGAGAGAAAACAACGGAACATTTTTGAAAATCATTCTGTCTGTACAATTTGAGTAACTCCTGTACACTACTACTTAAATTTTAAGAACTGTCGATTTTTATTGTGATAAAATGAAAGCTTCATGGGAAATGTTGCATGTGTTTGTAAAGGAGTAGATTTTAACTTTTTCAGAACTTCCAAGATAATTCATGCTATTGGGGACCAATTTTGCACGTGCCCTTAAAAAATGAATTTATGCAAAAGTTATAGAGTCATGGATTCATACAGAATGGAAACGGGCACTTCATTCAACCAGTTCGTGCTGACCATAATCCCAATATAAACTCGTCCCACCTAACTGTACTTGGCTCATATCCCGCCAAACATTTCATATTTGTGTACTTACCCGAATATCTTTTAGACGTTGTAACTGTACCCGCATCCGCCACTTCCTCTGGAAGTTCATTCCACACACGAACCACTCTCTGTGTAGAAAAAAAAGGCTCCCATGTCTTTTTTAAATCTTTCTTCTCTCACCTAAAAAATATGCCCCCTAGTCTTGAAATCTCTCACCCTAGGGAAAACACACCTGCCATTCACCTCATCTGTACCCCTCATGATTTTATAAACCTCCAAAATGTCATTCGTTAACCTCTTATGCTTCAGTGAAAAAAACATCCCAGCTTATCCAGCCTCACCTTATAACTCCAACCCGCTATTCCCAGCAACATCCTGGTAAACCTCCTCTGAACCCTCTCCAGTTAATGATATCCTTCCTATAACAGGGCGACCAGAACTGGACACTGTACTCCAGAAGAGGCCTCACCAACGTCCTGTACAATCTCAACATGACATCCCAACTCCTATACTCAAAGGTCTGAGCAATGAAGGCAAGCATTCTAAACACCTTCCTAACCACCCTGTCTACTTATGAATTCTATAAGTTGAATTTGAACATATTATGTGTGCCTGAAATTTATAAAAAAACATTTTAAAATGTGTTGGCTACCTGACTATTTATTAGCAGTGGTTAATATCAGGTGGGGTGTATGGAGTAACAAGATGCCTTTGCTATTAATCATATTATGTATTGTTTGGGGTTAGTATGGACATGAACAAAGCTTTTTGGGATGAAATATTTAAAGAATGTGGAGATCCCTGTTTTCCCTGCTGTACGTGGTTTCCTTTTGCATTTTAGATCAGAAAAGTCGTATTGGTTCAAGTATTTTTTACAACAGTTTTCTTAAGACAGATTTCTCAATGGCCTTGGTTACTTTGTCATACTTTTACTGTAAATCTATTTGAATCTCATGGGACAATGTGTGGTGCCATATTTCTATTGCAGTTGCCAGAGCAGAAATAATCTGAAATTAAACTGCTGTTTGTGTTCTAAATGTGCTAGTATTGTATAGTATTCCTTACTGATGACTTATTACTGCTTTTCATGGAAATGGGTTTAGAGATAACAGGAAATGTGGTACTACTCAATGTAACATTCATGTTTGGTGTTTGGGGGTGGGGGTGGTGAATCTGCCCTCAAAAATGATCCCTTTTCATCTTGGGTGTAAGATGATACCTTTGGCTCAAGGCCAAGTATTATTGGGAGAGTGAGAATGGTGCAGACAAGACTAGCAACAAGTTTGTTACAGGAATGGGGTGGAAAAAGGTAGGTTTGTCTCAGCCTTGGAGCTTTTGTCAAAACAGTGTTGTTTAACCTTTTGATTGCCAATTTTGCACACCTAGTAAACAAATAGGTTTATTTCCTTTTTATTCTTGTTGCAAAACAGTACCGATTATTTGATGATTCAGCTCTAGCTTTATAGTATGTCAAGTATGTTTAACATTCTAAATCAGAGTTGTTTTCCAAAATAATTTCTATTTAACTTACACCTGTTCTCTCAAAAAAAATACAATTTTAATCGAAGCCCTGATCGTTCAAATTAAAATAAAACATTACTTTTAATCAGTACTTCAATTGATGTCTGTGGAGCTCCAGCTAGAATCACTCTTTGCATCTAGCTAAGAATTCGGTTTAATGGAAATAAAAATCACTATTTTCTTACTGGACTATACAGTGATTTGGAGATAGTAGTTTGATTGTAGTTAAAAAGAGCCTTTCACAACCTCAGCACATCCCAAAGCACTTGTATACAGCCAATGAAGTACGTTTTGACGTTCAGTCATTGTTATCCGACAGGGCTTTGCATGTGGGAAACTCACACAAACAAATGTAATAGTGATCCACTGTACTGCTTTGATGCTGGTTGAGGAATAAATGTTGGCCAGGATGTGCGGGAAAATAGTTTTGTGAAATATTTTTGATTCACCAGAGAGAGTAGGCAAGGCCTTTCCATTTGAATGTTGCTTAAAATACAGATCTGTCAGCAGCCATAAAATGTCAACTTAATGCTTCAGGTAGAGACAGTTAGTTCATAGCAGCTCAAAGAAAAATGGCTGGTTACATTTCAGGTAGATATACGGAATTAAATCTGGCAATGTGTCCACCCTAAATGTTAACCTGCCATTTGTCTTTCAACTGATAGAAATGCACTATAATTCTAGCACTATAATTTTTTAAAATCTTCATTTTTGAGTAAATTGAGCCTGTATCCTCTTCTATTGAGAAGAATGTGAGGCATTCTAGTTGTGACGTACAAGACCCTGAAAGGGCTTGTTAGGGTAAATGCTGGGAGAATATTTCCACTGGCCAATGAACTTAAAACAGGGGGACATAGTAATAGAATAAGGGGCTAATTGTTTACGTCTAAGTTGGAAAGAAATTATTTCACTCAAAGGATTGTGAATCTGTGGAATTCTCTTTTCGAGAAGGTAGTGTGTACTCCATCTTAGCATACATTTAATGTTGAGATTGGGAGATTTTTGGTTTCTCAGGGGCATTGGGAGTGGGCAGGATGATGAAATTGAAGCCCAAGATCCGCTCTAGTCAGAATTAATAGTTAAGCAGGCTTGATAGTCCATATGGTACACTTCTGCCCCTCTTTTGTTCTTGAGTTTTGGATTCATAGTTTTCACAGTTTGCTTGCGATTATTACAGTGTACATTTAAAAAGGCTGAGATCACATTAAGGAAATATAGAATTTCTGCTAAACCGGTATGTATGTAAAATACCTTATTTTATCGCTGATGATGAATACATTACTTACCATTGGATATAAATATTTGGAGAAATGTGGAATTATTTTTAAATCTGTAGTGCGCAGTCCTTGTACACAAATTCAGGTCAGTAGAGCTTGCTCCACACAAATTGACTTATAATTAAAAAAATAACTTATTCAATTCTTTTAACTGTCGCAATTTTTTTTCTTTATTTGTTCTTCCAGTATTTATTGTGCATGCCAAATTGCCCTGAGAAGGGCATGGTAGATCATCATGAACAGTTGGTCATGACTTGATATAACAGAGTGGCCTGCTATATACCACTTCCTGGGGCAATTAACATATTTGTGGGTCTGAGGTCATGTATAAACCTTCGCTAAAGGACAGATTTGGTTTCTAAAGTGATCTAATAGCTGTGTCACCCCTTTGACTGATACCAGCTTTTATTTCCCAAATTTAGAATGCTAACTGAAATTTTCAAACAGCCATTGTTAGATTAGTCCAGGCCTCTGGTTACTAATTCAGTAATTTGGCCACTATTATGCTTGTTAGTTGACAATATTTAAATGTGGAGCACACTGTGTGGAGTTTGCACATTCTCCTCGTGTCTGTGTGAATTTCCTCCAGGTGCTCCAATTTCCTACCGCAGTTTAGAGATGTGCAGATTAGGTGGATTGGCCATGATAAATTGCCAATAGTGCCCAAGGATGTACAGGCTAAGTGGATTAGCCATGGGAAAGGCGGGGTTACAGGGATAGGGTTGTAGGGTGGGTCTGGGCAGGATGCATTTTGGATAGTCAGTGTGGACTTGATGGGCCGAATGGCCTGCTTCCACACTGCAGGGATTCAGTGATTCTAT